TTTTTTGATTTCTTTTCTTATCTCATTATTGACCCATTCATTGTTTAATAGTGTACTGTTCAGTCTCCATGAGTTTCCAAGTTTTTGAAGTTTCTCTTTGAGGTTGATTTCGAGTTTCAAGGCCTTGTGGTCTGAGAAAAAGTTTGGTATTATTTCAATTTTGTTGAATTTACTGAGGCTTGCTTTGTGTCCTATCATGTGGTCTATCTTTGAAAAACTGCCATGAGCATTTGAAAAGAATGTGTATTTTTCTTCTTTGGGATGTAAGATTAAATATATGTCAGTTAAGTCTCTTTGATTCAGTGTTTCATTCAGCGCCACGATATGTTTATTAATGTTTTGTTTGGAAGATCTGTCCATTTTTGACAGTGGGGTGTTGAAATACCCTACTATCAGTGTGTTGCTATCTATATCTTTTTTGAAGTCATCCAACAATTTCCTTATAAACTTGGGGGATCCTATATTGGGAGCATATAAGTTTACAATCTTGATGTCTTCTTGATAGATTCTTCCTTTAAGTATGATAAAGTGCCCCTATGGGTCTCTCTTTATGGCCTTTGCTTTGAAATCGACTTTGTCTGATACAAGTATGGCAACGCCAGCCTTTTTCTCATGTCCATTTGCTTGGAATATTATTTTCCATCCCTTTACTTTCAATCTGTGTAGGTCTTTTGCTCTGAGGTGGGTCTCTTGTAGGCAGCATATGTGTGGGTCATGTTTTCTTATCCATTCAGCTTCCCTGTGTCTTTTGATTGGGGCATTTAGTCCATTCACATTGAGAGATATTACTGATAGAAACTTACTCGTCTTTTCTCTTTGTACTTGTGTTCCTCTCTGTCTCATTCTTTTCCTTCACCTTCTTAAACCAGTCCCCTTAGCATATCTTGGAGTGCTGGTTTGGTAGAGATGTATTCTTTTAGTCTTCTTTTGTCTGGGAAACTCCATATTTCTCCTTCTATTTTAATGGAGAGCCTAGCTGGGTAGAGCAGCCTTGGCTGTAGGACCTTGCTTTTCATGGCTTGGAATATTTGTTGCCATTCCCTTCTGGCTTGTAGTGTTTTTGTTGAGAAGTCAGCTCCTAGGAGTATCGGGGCCCCCTTCTTTGTTACTTTCTCCTTCTCCCTTGCTGCCTTGAGGATTCTCTCTTTGTCTTTGACATTTGCCATTTTAATGATGATGTGTCTTGGAGTGGACCTCCTTGGGTCCTTCTTGAGTGGGGTCCTCTGTGCCTCCTGGATCCATGAGAGCCTTTCTCTCTTGAAATTAGGGAAATCTTCCATCATTACTTTTTCGAGGAGATTCTCTATCCCTTGCTCCTCTTCTTCTCCTTCTGGGATCCCTATTATACGGATATTATTGCGTTTCAGGTTGTCCTGCATTTCCCTAAATGCTTCTTCATTCTTTTTGAGCCGTTTTTCCATTTCTTGTTCTTTCTGGGAGCTTTTTTCTACCTTGTCCTCCATCTCACTGATTCGATCCTCAGCTGCATCCAGCCTGCTTTGGATTCCTCTACTGTGTTCTTCAATTCAGAAATGGTATTCTTCATATCCTCTTGTGTCTTCTTGATAGTTTCTATGTCCTTTTCCAGGCTGATATAGTTTGCTGTAAGATCCTGATAGTTTCTCTGCAGTTTCTCATAGTTATCTTTGAGCTGGCTGAGCTCATTGAGCTTCCTTAGAACCATTGTTTTAAATTCCATATCTGATAGTTCCATTGCCTCTATTTCATTTAGCTCTCTATGTGGGGAGTCCCCTTTTCCACTCATTTGGGGGGAACTTCTTTTTCTTCCCATTTTTGTGAGATCTGTTAAGTAGTTTTGTCCTTTACTTTTCTTTCTGGGCTTGCCTCTGATGATGTCAGTTGTTGACCCTATAGGGCCTTGGGTTGTTTGTTTGAGCCTTTCAGGAGTCTAATGCCTGTGTTTGACTCCTGCTTGGAGCAGCTCTGTGACCCCTTCGGTCAGAGCTGGGCTATTTTTTGGGATCTCTCTGCGCTCTCACGAGAGCTCCTTGAGCGCGTTCCCAGCGAGGCAGGGTCCCCCACCTGCCTGGGCTCGCATGTATTTGCCCCAGACCACGGGGCTTATTCGCGACCTCTCGTTCTCATCTGGCCTCCCTGGCACACGAGCTTCGTGGCACTGGTCAGTTTAGGGTCTTCTATTGTGTGTTGTCCCCGCTTTTGGCTCTTTGTGTGTGTTGCTTGCCCTCGCCAAATGGGGACTATGGAAATGGGAGGATATCAGCTCTAGGACTCTCAGGTTAATCCTGTTTCTGGTCTCTCCTCCAGGGACTCTGGGCAGCTCTACTTACTTTGTGGGCTGCTCCGCAATCACGGCGGGTAAGTCAGTTTATGCCTGCCCTTGTCCCTCTGTGCAATCCCTCACAGGCCGTATGGGTGTCAGTCTGTGTGAGGCCTTGCCGGCCGGTGCAAGCGTTCGCCAGCCCGCGTGGGTCACACACACGCTCGCCAACCCTTGCCAGTCACTTGGCGCAAGTGTGCGCGCCTGCTCTGGGTGTTTTGGGGGTGTCTATGTTTGCTTTTCGGCTTTTGGCTCTTTGGGGGTGTGGCCTCTTCCCGCGCATTGGAGACTTCGGCAAGGAGAAGGAGTCAGGGTCCCCGGTTCCTCCTCCCGTTCTTTCCCCAATGCCTCTGTCTCCAGTCTCTCTTCAAGGCTCCCCCAGCCAGTCTGCACTCAGCACCGTAGCTCACGTGCGTACAAGCTGTGTGCGGAGCGCACAAAAGGCAGGTTAATTGATTCCCTTATGCCTGAGCGAGATGGTAGCTGCAGAGTGGGAAGTGCGTTATCACCCGGGCTCCACCGGCCACCATGTCAGTTCTCTTCACAAAGTTTTCCTCACCAGTCTTTTCCCAGGCACCAGCCCACCCTGCTGCCGCTTCTACCCAGCGATCAAGGAGGGTGGCTGCCGCTGCAACTTTTGCATTTGCCCTTTAAATGTCTTTTTGCATCCCCAGCCACCTGTCTCTGGCAGAGAGCACCCCTAAGCTTTTTGGGGTTACGTTTTGTCTGTATTTTCTCGGCTTTAGCTGCTGTAGTTTAGGGGTTCCTGTTTATGATTCAGACTCCGTTCTTCTCGGGGGGACGCTAACTGGCCGTTTCAATGTCCCTCTGGTGCCAGTGCCCGTGCGCACCCAGCCCACCCTCTCGAGCCTCCACCGCAATTCTCACCCGTTGGGATGTGTGAGAGTCGAATCCACTGTCCGCGGCACCAAGGTTCCTCTCCCACTATCGCTCCACTGCTTTCCAGGTGATTACTCCATTATTTAGTTGCAATTCCAGTTTGGTTTTGGGAGGAGGTCAGCGTGACTCCCTTTCACTCCTCCGCCATCTTTTTCTATCAGAAAGTTTCTTCTAAAGTTATGCTGTTTATGAGGAGTCAGGTATGAGAGGATTCTTAATAACTTTGTAAAAGCCATTCGAAAGAGAAGGTGTGCAACTGGAGTTTAGAGATTAGAACATCTGGCTACTTCAAGAATCTTGAAACGAGGAATGAATGAAGGCAGGAATTACTGGAAAGGAGGTCAGGATGGCAGTGGAGTAGATGGATCTTCAGTTCACCTCCTTCCAGAACCAAACTGGAAATTCAACTAATCTGGGGGAAAATATCCTCAATGACCAGCTGAAGACTGGCTGAGGAGGAGATTTAGAACCAAGGAGCTCTAAAAGAAGCCATGTTGAGACTATACACACACAGCAGCTGCATGCAGTGATCTCACGATCAGCCAAACTAAGGTTGATTCCACGCATGGTTAAGCCAAAAACAATGAAGACTCAATTATAATATGAAAGCCCAAAGTCCAAGCAAGGGATATTCCAAGAACACCTAGCTCCAGAAATCAAAAAGACCACAACACTGGGTCCCCTAGGATACCTACTACATAAATCCACCTCACAAAGACGGGGAGTCATAGAAGATAGAAACCAGCACAGATACTCAGAATGAGGATACACAGTAACAGACCTCAAATGAAAGAATTAGAGTAATACTCACCAAAAAAAGCTAAATTAAATTGAGGCAAGCAATTTGTCTCATAGAGAGTCCAAAGTAATGGTTATAAGGATGCACAAGGAACTTAGTGAGAACTACAACGGCATGAATAAGGTCATAGAAACCATGAAAAAGGACCAGTTAGAAATGAAGAATATAAAATCTGATATCAAGAATACACTGAAAGGAATTAGAAGTAGTCTTGATGAAGCAGAGTATATCAGTGATTTGGAAGACAAGGTAGAAAAAAAAGCAGCAAAAAAGAAAAAAAAAGACAAAAAGAATGAGGATATTTTAACTGAACTGTGGGACTACATGAAATGTAACAACATCTGCCTCACAGGGGTACCAGAAGATGAAGAAAGTGAACAAAGGAATTAAGAACCTGTCTGAAGAAATAATAGCAGAAAACTTTCCTAACCTAGTGAAGAAATAAAAGCCACTGATGTTCAGAAAGCATAGAGAATCCCAAACAAGATGAACCCAAAAAGACCTACATGAAGACACATCATAATTGAAATGTCAAAAGATGAAAAGACAATTTAAAGGCATCAAGACAGAGACAGCTAGTTACATATAAGGGAGATCCCATAAGCATGTCAGCAGATTTCTCAACACAAATAATTCAGGCCAGAAGGGAGTGGCATGGCATATTCAAAATAATACAAAGCAAGAACCTGAAACCAAGACTATTCTAATTAGCAAATTTATCATTTAAAATTGAAGGCAAAATAAATAGCTTCCCAGACCCTCCCCAAAAAATAGTTAAAGGGGTTCAAACCACAAAACGAGCATAGCAATAAGTGGTAAAGTTTCTGCTTTAAGAAGAAGAAAAAGAGAGAGATGACATAGACATAAAGAAAAATGGCAATAAATAAGTACCTATCAATAATAACCTTAACTGTAAAGGGGTTAAATCTTCCAATTAAGCCTTTTTCTGATATCTTGGAGCCTGTGGAGCCTGCTGGGAAAAGGACTTCTACAACAACAAGTATGTATGGACGGCTGTGGTCCAAGGCCATTTTTGCTGGCTATAAATGGGGTCTCCGGAATCAGAAGGAACACACAGCTCTTCTTAAAATTGAAGGTGTTTATGCTCGTGAGGAAACAGAATTCTATTTGGGCAAGAGATGTGCTTATGTGTACAAAGCAAAGAACAACACAGTGACTCCTAGTGGTAAACCAAACAAAACCAGAATCATCTTGGGAAAGGTAACTCGTGCTCATGGAAACAGTGGCATGGTCTGTGCTAAATTCCAAAGCAACCTTCCTGCTAAGACCATTGGACACAGGATCCATGTAATTGTGTACCCCTCGAGTACTTAAACTTATTGAAAAGTAAATAACAGCCCTGACTGGTGTGGCTCAGTTGGTTGGGGGTCCTATGGCAACTGGAAAGATTCCTGTTTGGGGCACATGGTTGAGTTGCAGGTTAATTTAGTTCCTGGTCGAGGTACAAGGGGAGCCAACTGATGAATGTTTTTCTCATATGTCAATGGTTCTCATCCTCTTTTTCTCCCTCCTTTCCCTCTCTCTAAAATAAATCTATTTTAAAGAGGGAAAAAAATGTTCCAATTAAAAGACATAGACTAGTTGAATGAATAAAATAACATGACCCATATATATGCTGTCTACAAGAGACCCAACTCAGAACACAAGAATTACAGAGGCTAAAAGTGAAGGACAGAAAAAACATCCATGCAAATGGAACCAAAAAAAGGTCAGGGTAAGCAATACTTTTATCTGACAAAATAGTTTTCAAAACAAAGGACATAACAAGGGACAAAGAAGGTCACTACAGAATAGTAAAGGGATCAACCCAAAAAGAGGAAATAAACATTGTAAACATATATAGACCCAATATAGGAGAACTTAAAGATATAAATAAAATCATAATGAACCTTAAGAGAGCTATTGACAGCAATACAACCATAGCAGGAAATTTTAACCCCATGCTATCACCTATGGCTATATCATCCAGACAAAAAATCAACAAGGAAACAGTGACATTAAACAACATGATACATCACATATGTTTTTTATTTATTTTGTATTGTTCAAATACATTTGTCTCTATTTTACCACTAACACTATTCCCAGCCCCACACACCCCCACCTCCCACTCTCAATTCTTTTCCAGTTTGGCTCTCTCTATAGGTCCTTTATACATATTCCTTGAATTGACCCTTCCCCCTCTTTTCCCCATTACTGCCCTCCCTCCTGTCTCATGACTGTCGGTTTGATTTTTCCATCACTGCTGCTGGTTATATTTTTCTTGCATCTTTGTTTTGTTGGTTAGGTTCCACTTATATGTGAGATCATATGGTATTTGTCTTTCACCCTCTGTCTTATTTCACTTAGCATAATGCTCTCCAGTTCCATCCATGCTGTCCCAAAGGATAGTAACTCTTCTCTATTTCTGCTGTGTAGTATTACATTGTGTAAATGTACCACAGATTTTTGAATCACTCATTAATTGTAAGGCACTTAGGTTGCTTCCAGCACTTGGCTTTTGTAAATTCTCCTGCTATGAACATTGGGGTGCATAGGTTCTTTTGAATTCGTGTTTTGGGATTCCTAGGGTTTCATCCCAGCAATAGAATTGCTGGGTCAAAAGGCAGTTCCATTTTTACTTTTTTAAGGAAAATGCAAACTGTTTTCCACAGTGGCTGCACGAGTCTGCATTGCCACAAACAGTGCACTATGGTTCCCTTTTCTTCTCAACCTCACCAGCACTTGTTTGTTGATTTTTTATGATGTCATTTCTGACTGGTGTGAAGTGCTATCTAATTGTGGTTTTAATGTGCATTTCTCTGATGGCTAGTGATGCTGAGAATCTTTTCATATGTCTCTGAGCCCCTTGTATGTCCTTGGAGAAGTATCTGTTCCAGTCCTTTGCCCACTTTCTAATTCAATTCTTTGTCTTCCTAGGATGGAGTCATGTCAGTTCTTTATATATTTTGGAGATCAAACCCTTGTCCAACGTATCATTGGCAAATATATTTTCCCATATGGTTAGTTACCTTTTCATTTTGCTGATGTTGTCTTTAGCTGAGCAGAAGGTTCTTATTTTGATGAATTCTAATTTGTTTGTTCTTTCCTTTATGTCCCTTGCCCTAGGGGACATATCAGTGAAAATATTGCTGCGCAGAATATCTGAGTTTCCTGCCTATGTTCTCCAGGACTTTTGTGGTGTCAAAACCTATATCTAGCCTTTTATCCATCTCAACTTTACTTTTGTGTATGGTGTAAGTTGGTGTCAAGTTTCATTTTTTGCATAAAGCTGCACATATCTCCCAATACCAGTTGTTGGAGAGACTATTTTTATTCAATTTTACTCATCTGCACCCTTTGTCAACTATGAACTGACCACAGAGAAATGAGTTTATTTCTGGGCTCTCTATTCTGTTCCATTGGTCTATGTGTCAGTTCTTTTTTTTTTTTCAAAGTCATAAAAATGTTTTATGTCACTCAATTTATCTAAAACAAAATCATTATTATAAATAGCACATTTATTTGCTTTATATTTATATGTATCGCTTTAGTATATAAGACATAGGAATCTAATTCAAAGAATTCTCTTCCATAATAATTAAGCCACAGAAGTTTGATAATTTTTTTAAATTTATTTACTTTCTAAATACATTTGTCTTTGCCTCCCCGCCACCTCTTTCCCTTGCCCCCTCCCACCTTCCCTCCCTCAGCTCTTCCCCTTTGGATTTGTCCATGAGTCCTTGTTATATGTTCCTTGACTTTCCCCATCCCTTCCCTTTCCCTGCCCCCCATCTTCGCTCCTGTCTCTGTTGATTTCTTTTCATTTCAGTGTTGCTGGTCATATTTTCCTTCCATCTTTGCATCTTTGGTTACGGTCCGGTAATAGGTGAGATCATATGGTATTTGTCTTTCGACCCCTGGCTTATTTCCCATAGCATGATGCTCTCCAGTTCCGTCCACGCTGTCGTGAAGTTTAGTAGGTCTATTTTTCTTTCTGCTGCGTAGTATCCCATTATGTATATGTACCATGATATTTTGATCCAATCATCTACTGATGGGCATTTAGGTTGCTTCCAACACTTGGCTATTGTAAATAGTGCTGCTATGAACATTGGGGTGCTTAGGTTCTTTGTATTGGTGTTTTGGTGTTCTTAGGGTATAGTCCCTGCAGGGGAATCCCTGGATCAAAAGGCAGTTCTATTTTCAGCTTTCTGAGGAAATTCCACACTGCTTTCCATAGTGGATGCACCACTCTGCATTCCCACCAACAGTATATTAGGGTTCCCTTTTCTCCACAGCCTCGCCAGCACCTGTGGTTTGCGGATCTGTTTATGATGTCCATTCTGACCGGCGTGAGGTGGTACCTCATGGTGGTTTTGATCTGCATTTCTCTGATGGCTAGTGATGCTGAGCATCCTTTCAAATGCCTCTGGGCCCTCTGTATCTCCTCCTTGGAAAAGCATCTGTCCTGGACCTTTGCCCATTTCTTTGATTGGATCGTTTGTCTTCTTGGAGTGAAGTCGAGTGAGTTCTTTGTATATCTTGGAGATCAAACCTCTATCTGATGTATCATTAGCAAATATATTTTCCCATACAGTTGGCCCCTTTTCATTTTGCTGACGTTTTCTTTCGCCGTGCAGAAGCTTCTTATTTTGATGAGGTCCCACTTGTTTATTCTTTCTTTTATGTCCCTTGCTTTAGGAGACATATCAGTGAAAAAATTGCTGTGTGGGATATCTGAGAGTTTCCTGCCAATGTTCTCCTCTAGGACTTTGATGGCGTTGCGACTTATATTTAAGTCTTTTATCCATCTTGAGTTTATTTTTGTGTATGGTGTCAGCTGATGATCCAATTTCAATTTTTTGCATGTAGCCGTCCAGCTCTCCCAACACCATTTTTTGAAGAGGCTGTTATTGCTCCATTTATGCTTCTGCCCACTTTGTCAAATATTAGATGTCCGTAGAGACCTGGGCTTATTTCTGGGCTTTCTATACTGTTCCACTGGTCTATGGGTCTGTTCTTCTGCCAGTACCAGATTGTTTTGAGTATGGTGGCTTTGTAGTAGAGTTTGATGTCCGGTATTGTGATCCCTCCTACTTTGTGTTTCTTTCTCAAAATTGATGCGGCTATTCGGGGTCGTTTCTGATTCTATATAAATTTTTGAAATGTCTGTTCTATTTCTGTGAAATATGTCTTTGGTATCTTAATAGGGATTGCATTGAAGCTATAAATTGCTTTGGGTAGTATGGACATTTTGAGGATATTAATTCTTCCAATCCATGAGCACGGTATATGCTTCCATTTATTTGTGTCTTCCTTAATTTCTTTTTTCAATGTTGTATACTTTTCTGAATACAGGTCTTTTGTGTCTTTGGTTAAATTTATCCCTAGGTACTTTATTTTTTTTCTTGCTATATCGAATGGTATATTTTTTCTGATTTCTTCTTCTTCTATTGCATTGCTGGTGTACAAAAACGCCTTTGATTTCTGAATATTGACTTTGTATCCTGCTGTTTTGCCAAATTCATTTATTAGGTAGAGGAGTTTTTGGGTAGAGTCTACAGGGTTCTTTATGTACACTATCATGTCATCTGCAAACAATGATAGATTTACTTCCTCCTTTCTTATTTGGATGCCTTTTATCTCTTTCTCTTGTCTGACCGCTGTGGCTAGGACTTCCAATACGATGTTGAAAAGAAGCGGTGAGAGCAGACATCCTTGTCGTGTTCCCGATCTTAGTGGGAAGACTTTCAGTTTTTGCCCTTTGAGTGTGATATTAGCTGTAAGTTTTTCATATATGGCCTTTATTACATTGAGGAATGCCCCATTTATTCCCATTTTGCTGAGTGTTTTGATCATTAATGGGTGCTCTACCTTATTGAATGCTTTTTTTGCATCTATCAAGATGATCATTTGCTTTTTGTCTTTCCTTTATTTATGTGATGTATCACATTTACTGATTTGCGTATATTGAACCATCCCTGCATCCCTGGGATGAATCGCACTTGATCGTGGTGCATAATCTTTTGAATGTTTTGCTGGATGCGGTTTGCCAATATTTTGTTGAGGATTTTAGCATCTATGTTCATCAGAGAAATTGGCCTGTAGTTTTCTTTCTTTGTAGTGTCTTTATCTGGTTTTGGGATCAGGGTGATGCTGGCCTCATAGAAAGAGTCTGGGAGTCTTCCTTCCTCTTAGATTTTTTGGAATAATCTGAGAAGGACAGGGGTTAGCTCTTCCTTAAATGTTTTGTAAAACTCTCCTGGGAAACCATCTGGCCCTGGTCTTTTGTGTGCTGGGAGTTTCTTGATGACTGCTTCAATTTCCACAGC